ATGTTCTGTTTGACAGAAAATTTATTATCTATTGTCCTACTTTACCATTTATTAATATTAACCTTATTTTGTGGGCTATCACTTCATGGTCACATTTATCAGATCCTTTGCAAAGTCTGTGTATACTACATCTGCAATCTGTTTTTCTTCTAGTGCTTGAGTAATTTTGTTTTAGTGGTCTAGTAGTTGTAAAAGGCATGATCTTCCCGCTCTAAATCCATGTTTGCTTTGGTCATCGATTGAGGTCATCGAGGTCATCGAGGTCATCGATCTCTATAAAACTGGAATCTGATTCCAGATTGCTCTCTCAAATGCCCTGTGTTATTCTCGAATGTTTCACTGATTGTTTATCACTTGTTTCTCCTTATATACAAGAGTATGTGTGTGTTGAATGACTTGATAAATCACATAATTCACATAACATATGATAATGTTTCAATTGATTATTTGTTTACCTGGTATACACTATTACAACCATATACAGCAGCAAACAAGATATGAACATAATTTACAATGGTGTCAGGCTCTAGGTGATGACATTTGGCTTTATTGGCACCATATGGGTGAGAATATAGATTGAAAGAAAGGCATAAGCCACCAGTGTGCTGCTCACAAGCTGCTAATTCACAAAACATATGATAATGGTTCAGTTGATGATTGGTTAACTTGGTATTCCTCATTACAACTATATGGTTGTTGTTAAAGATTGGCTACCTGGAACAAAGTTCCAAGTAGCACGGGCTATGGGAACTATATGGAGTTGTGAAAACCATATGAACATCATTGATATACATATCATGTAATTATAATGGAATCGTATACAATGATGATGATGACCACATTCACCAAGTAACATTCATGATGATAACTGCATTCACATAGTAACATAACCATGAAACAATAGCAGGATTTTTTCATAGATCAAGGTAAACTCCATCACATCCACAGAGAACTATTATATCCATATTTGCATTATACATGTAAATCCCAGACAATAATTGTTTAAATTGTCATATATGATGATAACTGCATTACCCCACGAATAAACATATGACCACAACTGTTGTTTAAGTGTTAATAAAATTGAATTCCTTCTGGAAATCGTCATTAAAATTGTAGTTTCGCTTCTTTTGACATTGCAAAGATAGACTTAAAGCTTTACAAAATAGATGTTAAAACCATCAGCTTAGAATAACAAACCCACCAGTTAGTATTCAGGCAAAACAAAAACTAATGCTACAGCAGAACAGACACTGCAACTGAGATGCCCAAGGGTTACCAACATGTATTTTTTCTGCAAGAAGCCCCGTCGGCTCCCTGAAGCTATCCTACTGATATAGTGTCTTGATGCCTTGATGCAGGGAATTCACCCCGTAAGGTAGGCAAATCAATACAGACCACTGTCTGGTAGAAAATTGCGAGCTATGTCTTCAAAATAGCAAAAGAATCCCCCACAAATTGCACTACTCTCCAGTTCAGTTCTTGGCTGATGGTGCTGGAGGTTGGACGTCGACCCAGGCTGCAATATTTTTAATGAATTTTTGCCTTAATGGCCTGGAATTCTACAGGGTTTCAGGACTGCAGGCTTCTAGGGTTACCTTCCCTAGGTGTTCTGTGAGTACTGCCCTTGCCGTCAGGGTTAGCTTCCCTGGGGTGTTAGGGAATCACTCTCCTTTACAGGGCTTCCTCACTTGGGGGGATTGTCCTCGACCTTGGAGTAGGCCCAAGGCTTTTGTCTTGCGCCGGCCGTCTTGCCCTGGGTTGTGGGGTGTTTGTTGCTGGTGAGGTGCACTGTGGCTGGCACAGCCTGCATTACTATCACATGGTGGCCGATGTTTCTGGCTGCTAGTTTGCTTGTTGTGAGATTTCGGAGGTGTTTTCTTTTGTTTTCATTTCGGCATTTTTGCCTGTTGTTGCAGAGGAGGTCTGCCTAGCTCCTTATTAGGCTTAGCATAGGTTGTGGTGGGGGTCCTCCTCTGTTGCTCCCGAGGTTTCATGACTGCTACTTGCAGTTGGTTTGCCTGCTACAGAGTATACCGCCTTGGCTGGCCCCAGTGCCTGGGCATCCTGTAGATCTTGTTCACTCTATGGGCACTGGAAAACCCCTGTGGATACTTCTTCCGCACCATGGTTCTTCTGAGCTCACTCTCGCTCTGTGCAATTTTGAAAGTTGTTTGCTGCCCATGCCTCAGGGTCATTCATACTGCCTCCATCATGCTGCCTGTTGGGTCAGGGAAATCCTACTACCCGGAGTCTTACGGGACTTATTCCCCGTTTGTACTTCAGTTACTCATCCTTTATCTGATGATCTCAGGGATCAGGCAGCGGCTACTTTGCATGCTCGATTCTCCTTATTGCAATGTGCTACAATGTGCAATGTGGTTGGTTGCCTGGTTCGGGGCCCTGGAGCTGCTCCGCTCGGGTTTTAGGGACTCGAATTTGGGAGGTGTTGTTTGCTTTAGCATTGGTTCTATCCGCGCCCCTTCTTCCTTCCCAGGTGTGTGTGGTTCGCCTTGCTCTTATTCTTCCCCTCCCTTCCCATCCCCTGCTTCTGGCTCCCAAACCTCTGAGGGTTTCGGAGTCAGGGCCAGGGGGTGATGAGGCTCAGGTGGCTTCCTGGGCTGCCCCTTCCGAATCAGGTGCAGAGGTGGTTGAGTTCGATTTTCCCCTCGGGGTCTTTCGGTCCACTCAGCAGTCCACTCCCTTCTCGGAAGCTTTTCCCCCTGGACTCCGCCTTTTCTTTAAGGGTGATGGGTGTGGATGAGGGCTCTGCCCCGAGGCTTTTGTCAGGGGTTCCTGGGGCTTGGGGGGAGTCTGTTTGGAGCTATTGGGCTCCTTTTGACCCTGCTGGGGCCCTTGTGCCCTCTGGGCAAGGGTTATTGCTGCAGGGTAGGGGGTTTTTGTACCCTCCTTCCTTTTATGCTTTTGAGTTGGGTGCATCTTTCCTCAGGGTTCGTTTCCAGGTGCCTTTGGGTTCCTTGGATTCATCTCTCTGGAGGTTTCCTTCCTCTCAAATTTTCCCTGCGGAGCTTAGTGGGTCCCTTGGTGCATGCCTCCTGCAATACCAGGTTTATGCCTCTGTAATGTGTTTGAGTTTGGGTCTTCTCCCCCTTATTGGTTGTCATATGAGGTTCCAGAGTCTTCCTGACTGGCAAACTACCCCTTCTTTTCTCTTGGGGCTTGGTGTGGCTTTTGTCATACCCACACGCTTGAGTAGTAAGAGGTTTCCTCAGTGTTGCAGGTATTCTTGGGAGGGCTCACTTGAGTTCCTTCACAAGTTCATCTTCGCAACTGCACATCCTCGTGATGTGGGTCTGGGAGAGTTGCATTCCCAGGTTCCCACACTTTCGGCTGCCTTGGAGGCTGATGACCTTCGGACCCGAGGTTATTTGGCCTCGGTCTTGCACTTCTTCGGTCTTCTGGAGCTGTCTTCGGATTGACTTTTGGAGGACGTGGGGGGGAGGGGGCTTTGAGTAAGGAGCTCTCAGCTGCAGTGGTGGTTCATGTTCCTCTTTTTCCTGGTCCAGCTGTTGCTCCAGATCCTGGCTTGCTTGCAATCCTATCAGGGAAGGGTAGTTCTGGTTTCATGGTGACCGGCCCAGCTTTGGTTTCAGACGCTGCTTGCTCGGTGTCCGAACCTGAGTGTCTTTCTGCAGCTCTACCTCTACCAGCAGATCAGGCCAGTGAGGTGCTTTGCTGGTTTTATTTACTGCTCCAAACTTCACGTCTGGTCTTTCTGATGCAGGTGTATCGCCATTTCTATGGTGATCAGGTCTTTGATGGTGTTCCACCAACGGTCTTCTTCCAAGCGACAGTATGAAGTCTCTTAGTGGTTTTTCTATCAGTTCCTTTCTTTTTCTTCGCTTTCAGATCGGGTTGTTTTGACAGGAGGGTCCCTGGCAACCCTCCCTCCCACTGGTCGGTGGTTTTTTCACGTTTGTTGAAGCTTAGCTTCTGAACTGGAGTGCTATGCAGCCGGCTCGGTGAGGTCCGGGTCCCCCCCCCCCCAGACCTGGGAAGGGCTGCGTGGTCAAGTGGCATAGCAGTAGTGTGTTACATTTGGTTGTTTGCTTGTTTCCTTGAGATTGTAGGGAGTTCTACCTCTCTGTTTGGTTATTGTTGTTAGTTTCTTACCATGTGGAGTTTGTTTTCTTATGCCTACCTTTCTGGGTGCCTAATCCCGGTCGATGGCAGATAAGGAAAACCCCCGAACACAGGGGGGGTTTTCCAGGGCCATTGCTCCCTGCAACCTCTCTGAAGGGGCCAGGTTTTGGCTCATGGTTCCAGGTAGGTCTTAACTCCATAGCTAATGTCCCGGTCTAATATAACATACATTAGCCCGATAAGCTCCATGGAGCCTCCGGGGCTCACCTAGAAAATGGCGTTTCATTACATTCAATGCTAGTTTTCTTATATCTTCTAGCTTTGGCATGTTTAACACCTCTAATGTCTCCTCATAGCTCATGTTTTTCAGTTTCGGAATCCATTTGGTTGCATGTCTTTGCACCTTTTCCAGTTTGTTAATGTGCTTCTTGAGATATGAGCTCCATACAACTGCTGCAATTTTCAATTTAGTTCTCACAAATGTCATGAACAATTTCTTTAATATTTGTGTGAGTACATTTATGGTAATGGAGAGAGAAGAGTATGCTGTATGGGAAATTACAGTGAATGAAGAAGTGCAAGAAGTGGTTGAGTAGTTTAAGTGCTTGTTATGGAAATAAGAGTACAGTGAGTCAAAGAAAGAAAGTGGCTTGTGTAAAGGAAAACTCTGGTTAGAAAAAAAAAAGACAGCAAGATCCAGCCAGAGGTCTGGTAGTGTGTGTTCATGCATGTTTAGCCATGATGCTGTGTAATGTGTAAAATTCCAGTTTGGTGAATGGACAAATGGCAGTTTTTAATATCTTAATTTTTTTTTTTGTTATTCTGTGCTTTTGTCTCGGGGCTATTGTCGCCCAACCACAGGAAAGTGTAAAATAACACAATATATTTTATTCTAGGACTTTCCTCCAAGTTTTCTCAGTATGGATACCGATGGAAGAGTCTTAAGATTTGATTCCTTTTCTAAAATTTTGAGCTCTGGCCTAAGAATAGGCTATGTGACAGGACCAAAGCCACTGATTGAGAGGATTGTACTCCATGAACAAGTTTCTGTTCTACATGCTCCAGCCATGTCACAGGTGAGATTTTATTAGCTGCAGAACTTCAGGTTTTCATCAATTACCCATATATGAACACATAATGTGTGTAGCATTATTTGCTGCTTTTAATGTCTTTTCTGGGGAAGCCCCTTTGGCTCCTCGGAGCTATCAAAGCTGATATGTATATCATTAGACTTTGGCATTAGTCATGTGAATGTAGTTCTTAGGCCTACCGCGGACCATGAGCCAGAACCTGGCCCTCTCAAAGAAGCACGAGTAGCAATGGCCTATGGAAACCCCCTTGTGGTTGGAAGCATTCCAGGTCTGCCATCGACTGGGCCTGGCACCCAGAAAGGTAAGCGCCCCAAAACAAACCCCTATTCTGGTTAAGATATTGCTACTGAAAGCCAAACTAGTGGACAGAACTCCCCAGATGAAAACAAGCAAACAAGCGTGATGTCACCACGTCACCGCGCTGCTGTCTGCACCCCCCTCCTCGGGAGGGAGAAGGAAAGCCCTAGACTAGATGCAGGCTATCCACCCCGCAGTTCTGTGGCTGATGTGACTGACAATGGTCGTGTGACTCTGGCTCCTGTTTCTGTCCTACTGTGCCTTGTGGTGTTGTGCTGTTCTCTGGTGGGGTGTGAGCCAGGAATAATCTCACAAGTACTCGGGCTGCATACGCCTAGGGTCCCAATCCCTAGGTGCCCAGTAAGTACTGCCCTTGGAGCCGTCTTCCACAAGCCACCTTGGGAGCTTCCTCTGTAAGGTCTTTTGCTGCTCGGTGATTGACCGACCTTGGAGTCATCTAGGGTGTTTTCTTCACCCCTGTTTGCCTTTAGGTAGGGGTAGTATTCATCACTGGTTGGGGCACAGGGTACTGTGCAGCTAGTTGTCATCTATCATAGCGGCTGTCTGTTCTGCCCGGGCACGTTGTCCTCTTGCTTTTTTTTTTTTTTTTTTTTTTTTCCCTGGTGCGGGATCTGCCCGTTGGTTTTGGTCTCACCCTATTGTATCTTGGTGGTCCCTCGCTAGGCCCCCATGAGTGTACACATCCCAGGGGTGCAGCTTTAGTAGTTTGTTGGTAATATTGGGCGCCGGTTAGCAGTACTCTGCCTTGGCTTCCCTGAGTGTGAGTTCCATCTCAGGACCCTGGGAATTTCTGTGGATCCGATGGATGTAACACTGGGGGTCCCCCTCGCCTTGTGCGAGTTTGAAGGTTGCTCGGTCCCCTTGTTGCCGGGTGACCTTCACCGTTCATGCCTCCATCATGCTGCCTGCTGGGTCGGTGACACCTTCGACCCGGAGTCCTGGGAGTTTTGTTGCTTGTTTGTGATTCGGTACACCCAGTCCACTGATGACTCTATTCAGGTGCAGGCAGCTGAGACGTTGCATGCTTGTTTTAGGTTGCTGCAGCACAGGATTTTGGTTGCTGACCCGGAAGCCCTAAGGCTGCCCCGTTTAAGTTATAGAGACCCGGACTTGGGGGATGTTAGTCGCTTCATCTTTGGTTCAGTCTGCATCCCCTCGTCCTTTCCTCCTACTGTGATTCATTCTGTTACCCCCCCCCCCCTGCTTCCAGCTTCAAAACGTCTGAAGGTTTTGGAGTCGGTGAAGGGTTTAGTTAGTTTGGAGACTCAGGCGGTCTTGGGGGACGCCCCTTCCGGAGTGGCGACGGAAGCCTTCGTACCAGTTCCTCCTGCTGAAACGTCTGGGTCCGACCAGTAGCCCCTTTCTTCCTTCCTGCTTTTCCGGCAGCTCCGGCTTCTTCTTTTGAGGCCGGGGCTTTGGGGGATGGCTTGGCCCTGGGTCCTGTTGTGGGGGTTCCTGGGGCTGGGAAAGGGTTGACTTAGGAGCCTTGGGCCTTGATGGACCCTGCTTGGGTTTTTGTACCCTCTGAGCAGGGCTTGTTGTTACAGGGAGTGGAGTTTTTTTTTCCCCCCTCTGCATAGGAGTTAGATTAGTTGTCAGCCCCTCCCCAGGTTCCGTGTCCCTTCTGGGTTCGTTGGTCCTTCATCTGAAGGTTTTCGGCTTCCCACATCCCGCCTCGTGAGGTGCAGGAAGCCATTGCAGCTTAACTCCTGCACAACCCAGAGTACATCTCATTAATGAATCTGTCTTCATTCAAGTTTAGTTCTTTGTTTTCTTACTGGGTTTGTTATGAGGTTCCAGAGTCGTCCTGGCTTGCGGACTGCCCTGTTTTGTCTTTGGAGGCTTGGCATACGTTCTGTCAGTCCCTCACGCTGGAGTGGTTTAAGGCTCTGACGGTTTACCTGGGGGGGGAGGGGGCCAGGTTGAGCACCTCAGTGTGTGCTTGTTTGCTCCTTAACCTTTAAACCGTGCAATTCATATATATGTGCTTTCAGTGACAAAACCGAAACCGCGCATGTCATATATATATGATTTCGTGTCTAGCGCTATAATTTAAATGCCCCGCCTGGGATAGGGGCAGCTATAGTGCAGCCACGACTGATAGTTGCCAGATGTCACCTAGAAAAAAATCCAGGCCAACATTCTTGGGTGTGAGTATTGAGCGCGCCACCAAGGCTGATGCACGCAGCACGAGCTCACAGCACCGCTGTTCAGCTTGTGACCACAGCATTGCCTACAATTGCTATAATATATATGTTCATGCTATTATTTAGCGATGATAGTATTACAGAAGACCCCTGACTGTGATAAAACTGACCAGGATTCTGATAATAGCAGGATTGTGGTGATATTTAGCGCTGTGCTCCATGGAGGGAGGAGTAATGCTGTGGGAGGGAGGGTAGTAGCATCGTCTTATGACTGTGTGTGGCCAGTGAGCATAAGAAATATTGCTGGAACAACCGTGGACATCTTCAAGAGGAAACTAGATTTATTCCTCCAAGGAGTGCCGAACCAACCGGGCTGTGGTGGGTATGTGGGCCTGCAGGCCGCTCCAAGCAACAGCCTAGTGGACCAAACTCTCACAAGTCAAGCCTGGCCTCGGGCCGGGCTTGGGGAGAAGAACTCCCAGAACCCCATCAACCAGGTATCAACCAGGTATGAACCAGGCCACCTTTTATTGACTGCACTCACCATACCAGCTTAGTTGTTCGTTATGGTGATCACAAATGTAGATACTGATATATAACGTGTGTATAGAGTGTAATAACAGCAATAGCAGTAGGTTGGGAGCCGCCATTTTGGTGAGGGAGGTGCGTCGTCTGCATGACTTATCATGTTGTTTACTGGTGGCCACTATGGTCTTTGGCCACCATACCAGCTTATTTGTTCAGGTATGGTGAATAAAACAGGTAGATACTTATATATAATGTGAGTATATAGCATAATAACACCACAAACAATATTGTTGGAGGAGAAATATTAGTGCGTCTGGCCTTTAGGGCGGCCGTTACCAGCTGACTGTGTGAGTAGCTACGTGTTTGTGCCTTTACTCACCATACAAGCTTAGATGTACAGTTATGGTGAACAAAACATGTAAATACTTATATATAACGTCTGTGTATAGTGAATAAGTGAATAAATGCAAAAACAGTATTGTGGAAGGAGAATGAAGGTGAGTGAGGTGTTGTTGAGGGAGGGAGTGGCAGTGAGTGGCTGGCTGGTGTGTGGCGGTCACTCCTCGTTACATTTTGACTCACAATACCAACTTAGTGGGTTGTTATGTTGAGCAAAACATGCAGATCCTTATATATAACCTGTGTATATAGTGTAATAACAGCAAAACTATTTGTTTATTGTTTTATGAAAATAATTGAATCACTAATATGTACACCATAATTTTGAGTGCAGTGATGGTTCACACATTTTATTATATAAATATATCACAATTCACTGTATTGAATAGTATTACTGCAAAAAACTAAAAAAAAGTTAGAGACATTGAAATAATTAGGTAATAATGTACTTTTGGCAACTGCCGCCTGACAGCTCGAGCGGAGTAGACCTTGTCTGGCGAAGGTTCTGTCAACGCCCCTTTTTTGCCAGACTTCCCTACCTTATTGCAGCTAAAATATGCCACCTACGATTTTTTTGTTATTTTTTTTCCGTGATCAGGGAACAAAAATTAACACTTTTATAAGACTAATTTTTTTTTTTTTTGCGCCTATGGGTGTTAAAACCATTTGGACCCCCTAGAGGTTTGAGGGTTAAAGAGGTTGGCATAGTACAGCTTCACGTGCAGGCTCCCACCCTTTCAGCTGCACTGGTTGCTGAGGATTTGCGTGCTCGTGGCCTGTTGGCTTCGGTCTTGCATTTTTTACCTCCAGGAGCTGTCCTCGGATTGGCTGGAGGAGGATGAGGAGGTGCTAGGGGCCATTCCTGGGTCTGGTGCATTGGTCTCGGTGCCACATGCATCATCTGCCCCGCTGAAACTGTTCGTGCCGATCCTGCAGGATGCTGTGTCTCTATTTTTTTCTTCTCGTCTTGTGTGTCGGCAGGCGGTGCTCGCGTCCTTCTTGGAATCTGCTTGGGCCCAGGGTCATAGGTTTTTGTCGCTTTTCTGTGGGGAGCCCCTACGGCTCCCTGAAGCTTATCGGGCTAATGTATGTTATATTAGACCTGGACATTAACTAAGTAGTTCAGACCTACCAAGGACCAGTGCCAGAACCTGGCCCCTTCAGAGAGGTTTCAGGGAGCAATGGTCCTGGAAAACCCCCTAAACCCCAACCCCTAGGTTGGGGTTTTCCTTATCTGTTATCGACTGGGGTTAGGCACCCAGAAAGGTAGGCATAACAAAACAAACCCCATATGGTAAAAAACTAAAACAAAAAACCGAACAGAGAGGTAGAAACTCCCTACAATCCCAAGGAAACAAGCAAACAAGCAAAGATCACACTTTACTGTCGCGCCGATCGTCCGCGCAGCCCTCCCCTCCCCGAAAGGGATGGGGGGAGCCCCGGACCTCACCACGCCGGCTGCCTAGCATCAGTTCGTAAGCTAATGTCAACCGGGATAGATGCTTCTCTGGCCCCAGTTTCCTAGGCGGTGTTTGCCTTGTGTGGCATTCACTGCCGTGTGTTGTGTTGTGCGGTGGCCAGGTGTTCCTCATC